CTTGATGAATGTTCCATGTGAGCTTCAGAAGACTATGTATGTTATTGTTGGATTAAGCAGTCTGTAGATGTCAAGGTGATTGATGGTTTTATTGAATCCAACTACAGGTTAAGCAGCCCTAATCCAAAAATCCCAAATCTAAGATACTCCAAGATCCAATTGAGTGCCAAAATTGATGCTCAAAGGAAAATGCTCATTGGAGCATTTCAAATTTTGGATTTTCAGATTGGGGATGCTCGACTGGTAAACACAATGGAAATATTCCAAAATCTAAGAAAAAATCTGAAATCTGATATATTAATTGTTCTGGTCCCAAACATTTTGGATAAGGGACACTCAACCTACATGTCTTACTGATTTTCTGCCTGCTGAATCTGTCCATTTCTGATAGAGATGTTGAAATCTTCAGCTATAATAGAGGATTAATTTATTTCTCCTTGCAGTTCTACCAGTTTTTGCTTCATGTATTTTGACACTGTATTGCTAGACCTATACATGTTAAACATTGTTATATCTTCTTGGAGAATTGACCCAAAAGCATTTTATTTTTATTTATTTATTTTTTTGATACAGAGTGTTGCTCTGTCACCCAGACTGCAGTGCAATGATGTGATCACAGTTCACTGCAGCCTTGAAATCCTGGGCTCAAGGGAATATCTTACCTCAGCCTCTTGAGTAGTGGGGACTATAGGTGTGTAGCACCATGCCTGACTGATTTTTCTATTTTTTGTAGAGGTGGATTTTGCTACGTTGCCTAGGCTGCTCTCGAACTCTTAGATTTAAGTGGTCCTCCATCCTCAGCCTCTCAAAAGTACTGGGATTACAGGCATGAACCACTGTGCTCAGCTGTAAAAGCATTTTGAAATGGCCCTCTTTGTATCTGACAACTTTCCTTGCTTTGAAGTTGGCTGTGTCTGAAATTAATATAGCTACTCTTTTTTATATGATTATTTGCCGTCTGTATGTCTCCTTTTGTAAGGTGTCTGTTAAAGTCTTTGGCCCATTTTTTTAATCAAGTTGCTTGTTTTCTTATTGTTGAATTTTAATCAACAATAAGAGAAAAGACTTAACAGTATTTGAGTCTTCGTATATTATAGATAACAGTCCTTTAAAAGATGTTTCTTTTGCAGACATTTTCTCCCAGTCTGTGGTTTGTATTCTCATTTTCTTGACATTCTCTTTTGTAGAGTGGAAGTTTTAAAATTTCTTTTGATTAGTGTTAATATGCTTTCTTGTGATTAGTGTTAATATGGTATATCTGTATCCATTTACTTTTATTCTAGATGTGTTTTTACATTTAAAGTGAGTTTCTTATAGACAGCATGTAGTTGGGTATTGTTTTCTGATCCACTCTGACAATCTCTTAGTCGGTCATTTAGACTATTGTCATTCAAAGTGATTATTGATATAGTTGGATTATTATCTACCATATTTATTACTGTTTTTCTATTTGTTGCCCTGTTCTTTGTTCCTATTTTTGTCTTTTACACTTTTTATACTATTTGTGGTTTAATTGAGCCTTTCCTGTGATTCCATTTTCTCTCCTTTCTTAGAATATTAGTTATACTTCTATTTTTACTTTTTAAAGTGATTTCACTAGAGTTTGCAATATATATTTACAGTAATCCAAGTCCACTTTCAAATAACCCTCTACTGCTTCAAGGTTACTATGGGTACCTTATAATTCTTTCCTCCCATCTTTTATTTTTTTCTTTTTTTTGGATACAGAGTCTTGTTCTGTTGCCCAGATTGGAGTGCAGTGGTGCCATCTCAGTTCACCGCAACCTCCACCTCCCGGGGTCAAGTGATTCTTGTGTTTCAACCTCCTGAGTAGCTGAGATTACAGGTGCCCACCACCAAGCCTGGCTAATTTTTGTATTTTTAGTAGTGACAGGGTTTTGTCATGTTGGGCAGACTGGTCTTGAACTCTTGACCTCAAGTGATCCACCCTCCTCCGCCTGCCAAAGTGCTGGGAATACAGGCTTGAGCCACCATGCCTGGCCTCCTCCCATCTTTTGTATCATTGCTGTCATTCATTTCTTTTATATAAAGCATAAATAAGCATTTATAATCTAATACATTGTTGCTATTTTTTGTTTTGTTTTGTTTTTTTGAGGCAGAGTCTCATTCTGTTGCCCAGGCTGGAGTGCAGTGGCATGATCCTGGCTCACTGCAACCTCTGCCTCCTGGGTTCAAGTGATTCTCCTGTCTCAGCCTCCTGAGTAGCTGGGATTACAGGCATGTGTCATGACACCCTGCTAACTTTTGTATGTTTAGTAGAGATGGAGTTTTGCCATGTTGGCCAGGCTGGTCTCAAACTCCTGACCTCAAGTGATCCACCTGCCTTGGCCTCCTAAAATGCTGGGATTACAGGCGTGAGCCACTGTGCCCGGCCCGTTGTAGATATTACTATTTTTTGACAAACTTATATGTTAGACCAATTAAGAATAAGAAAAATAAAAGTTATTTAGCCTTCACTTATTTCTGCGTTGATGCTTTTTTTTCTTTCTTTCTTTTTTTTTTTGGTAGAGGTGGGGTCTTGCTATGAACTTCTGGCCTCAAGTGATTCTCCCACCTCAGCCTCCCAAAGCACTGAGATTACAGGTGTGAGCCACTGAGACCAGCTGTTGCTCTTTTTTTTTTTAAATAGAGATCTGAATTTCTAAACCATTTTCTTTCTCCTTAAATAATTTCTTTTAACATTTCTTGGAAGGTAGGTCTGCTGGCAACACATTCTGTCAACTTTTGTCAGAGAAAGTCTTTATTTCTTCACTTTTGAAGGATAGTTTCTCAAATTACAGAATTCTGTGTTGCTTTTTTTTCCCCTCTCAACATTTTAAATATTTTACTCCATTCTATTCTTGCCTGCATGGTTTCTGAGGAGAAGTCAGATATAATCTTTCTTTTTGCTCCTCTATAGGTAAAATGTTTTTTTCCTCTAGCTTTATCTTTGATTTTCTGTAGTTTGAATGTAATATGCATGGGTATAGTGTTTTTGGCATTTATCCTGCTTTCTGTTCTCTGAGCTTCCTGGATCTGTGATTTGGTGTCTGACATTAACTTAGGGGAAATTCTCAGTCATTATTGTTACAAATATATTTTTTTTATGTTCCTTTTTTTCTTTCTTCTCCTTCTGGTATTCCCATTATACTTTTCGTAGTTGTCTCACAGTTCTTGGATATTCTGTTCTGTCCTTTCTAGTCTTTTCTCTCTTTGCCTTTCAGTTTTTGAGGTTTCTGTTGAAATATCTTCAACTTCAAAGATTTCTTTCCTCAGCTGTGTCTAGTCTACTAATAAGCCCTTCATTTATTCGTTTTATTTTTTTTTTAGAGACAAGGTCTTTCTATGTTGTCTAGGCTGGTCTCCAACTCCTGGCCTCAAGTAATCATCCTGCCTGAGGCTTCCGAGTGACTGGGATTATGGGCCTGAGCCCCCACACCCACAAGCCCTTCATTTCTGTTACAGTGGTTTTGATCTGTAGCATTTATGTTTTGAGTCATTCTTAGAATTTTCACCTATCTCTTTAAATTGCTTATCTATTCTTGTGTGATGTCTACTTTATCCATTAGAGCCCTTAGTATATCAATCACAGTTGTTCTAAATTACTGGTCTGGGATAATTCTGACATCCTTAATTGTATTGGAGTCTGGTTCTGATGCTTGTCTTGTCTTGTCAAAGTGTATTTTTTGCCTTTTAGTATGCTTGTATTTTTATTGGTTTGGATAGCTACACATGATGTACTGGGTAAAGGAATTGTTGTAATGTGCTGGTAAAGTATAGGGGGAGGAGTGTTCTATAGACCTGTGGTTAGGTCTCAGTTTTTCAGCAAATTTTTGCCTCCAGACTATGAACTTCATAAATACTTCTCAGCCCTTGCATCCCGCTCCTCCTTAGATGGGACGGGGTGGGTAGAGTGGGCTGCAGTTGGGAATTTCCCATTTTCCATGTGGAAGGCTAGAGGGGGATGGAGTTGGATATTTTCCTTACTTCACATGGAGGACTAGAGCTGTCTGGAATTGGGTATTTCCCTTCCCCCAGGTTAGTTAGGCTCTGACAAATTTCCAACAGATTTTTCTCTCCCAAGGGAGGCCTTGTTAAGAACAGGACACATTGGCATAGTTCAAAATGGCTTTTCCTGCCAGAAGCACAAGGGGATGTTTTTCCTATGTTCATTGTGAGAAACCTGGTAGAGCTCCAGAAGGTAAAACTCACAAGAATCTGGGCCCTCTCTGATGACTGGTTCTCCGTAGAGGTTTTATTATTTTTATTTTTTTGAGATAGAGTCTTGCTCTGTTGCCCAGCTCACTGCAACCTCTGCCTCCTGGGTTCAAGCGATTCTCATGTTTTAGCCTTATGAGTAGCTGGGACTGTAGGCATGTGCTACCATGCTTGGAGAATTTTTGTATTTTTAGTAGAGATGGGGTTTTACCACATTGACCAGGGTGGTCTTGAACTCCTGGCATCAAGCAACGTGCCAACCTCCGCCTCTCAAAGTGCTAAGATTACAGGCATGAGCCACCACACCCAGTTTCCACAGAGTGTATCTCTCAGATTTGTTTACACTGAATTTCCAGCAATGCATCAATTATAGTTCAGGTTTTCTTTCCCTGACTCTGGTACCCACAGAGTTTTCTGCTCATGGGTTTCTGCCCTGGTAAGTTACGATTCTCTCTGTGTTTGCCTGTCTCTCCGATTTTGGGGTAGTTTGCCCTGCGACTTTACTTCTCTTAAGATTTGAGAAGAGTTGTTAATTTTTTAGTTTGTTTAGCTTTTTACTTGTCGTTAGGATGGAGCAGTGACTTCTAAGATTCTTCACATCAGACTGGACCCAAACAACTTTTGATGCAACTTAAAAAGACCCAGTGATGATTTAGATAACCCAATGTTCATCATTAACACAGAATTTTAAATATTTTAATGTTTTCCGGAGGCATTTTGAGCATTATCTTGTTGATATCTTATTTTAAAATTTAATTTTGAAATTTTTATATTAACAACAGATGAATATGAACGGGAAGAAACCAGGCAAGTTTATATGGATCTAAATAATAACATTGAGGTGAGTGTTAATGAAATCTGATTATTTTAAACATAGAAATTTCTAAGCAAATTATAGTGATTACCACAAAGATATGGACAACTCTTCTTACTGAAAAGATTATTATTTATTTGTTGAAATATTATTGTATCACTAATAAAATTCCTAAGGTTCTATACTATGAGCATTAATGTTTTGTTATGTAGTAGCTTTTTGATTTATATGTTAGTGACATCACTTAATTTATGAAATATTTGCTGACTCTTGTCAGAAATCAGCACATTGTTACACATAGCCATTAATTTGAAAACAGATAAAGTATTATACATCTGTGTCTGGCTTCTGTTTACCTTTGTTATCTCGTCTCCTGTCATTCTTCACTTTGCTTTTCTGCTATAGTCACTCTTTTATGTTTCTCAAATTTGCTAAGCTTTTTCTGATGGTGCTTCTTTGAATTTGTACCTTTTCCAGAACTTTTATATCTAAGGTCTTATGCACATTTCTAAAGTTCATTTTTCTTTTTTTGTTATTCTCCCCTTAATACTTTATCTAAAATTTCTATTTGATTATTCTATATATATCCACCTCATTTAACTTTTCTTAAGAGCACATAAAGCTACTTGGCATTTATTTGATATATATGTGTGTGTGTGTGTGTGTATTTGCATTCTTTTTTACACTTTATTATAAGTTCCAGTAGGGTAGAGACTTTGTCTTCTATCCCTATTGCCTAAAACAGTTCCTGGCACATAATAGGCACTCAGTAATTAATTAATTAATTAATTAACCTGATTTTACAAAGCAAGATTTGTTGAAAGCTGAATGAACACATGCTGCCAGATGATGGAAGTGTAACTTCGGATTCATGTTGAGAGGCCTCACTTTAGTGGAGAAGACATAAATAAATAAGCACAAATAAATATGAAATTACAGATTTTGATACATGCTATTAAGTAAATGGCTGGTGTACCAACAATCCATTTGCTGCTGTTTTGTATTATATAACATGTTGCCAGTGCATTTAAGCATTTGGGAAACCAACATAAGGCCCTCTTAATACATTTTTAGTAAGTAATTCAAATTACAATTTTTAATTATTCCAAATTGTGTGGTTTTAAATTTAATGATCACATGATACAAATTTGGTAATATTTTCATAGTTTGAAGAAAGCTATTTTAAAAAATCTAAGTGTGATTCTTAAAAGTTAAACTTTATATTTCAGAAAATGGTAACAGCTTTTGAGGAACTTCGTGTGCAAGCTGAGAATTCCAGACTGGAAATGCATTTTAAGTGTAGGGATAGGGATCTTACTTAATTTTTATATTACTGTTTTGCTATTTATATTTTTATTGGATTCCATTAATGTTTTCATCTCTTTAGCCTGATGCTCTCAACTATTTTCTATTTTCTTTCTTTCTGTAAGCCCTCTAAATCTTGTGGAATGTGGCAGGGAATTAATATTTGTTAAAAATAGTTTTGGGCTTTAAAACTATGTCTTTCATGAAATCAAACTAATTTTATTTTTTTTAGAAATGTGATTTGGTCTCTTTTTACATATCTTGGTATAGTATGCATGTTAAAATAATTTTATATATATCATATTATATATACTTAAAGCCTGTTGTTTCAGATTAGTGTGTTTTAGAGAATAAACTTTTATATATAAGAATTGTAAAATTTTAGGTTATTATAACTGATATTATTTATATTCAGTATTTTACTAAACAGAAAATAAGGAAGAAAACAGCAATTTTAACCCATTACAAACTTTTAGAGTTTAATATAATTTAGAGATAAATAAAGAGGTGAAATAAACTTTAAATTTTGTTTGTAATAGAAATGTGATACAATTATGTTATGACATTACAGTATATTTGTTTTATTTTTAAAGTAAAGGAAGATTATGAAAAAATCCAACACCTTGAACAAGAATACAAGAAGGAAGTAAATGACAAGGAAAAGCAGGTTTTTTTTAAAAAAACAACTCTTTGTATTCTTTATATTTGCTAATTCATTAAATACTTAAAATTTCAAAAGAAGTTTATATTTGCTGAATGTATGATAAATTCCTATGAGAGAATTTTAGTATTATACATATCTAAATATTTAACCTTTAGATTCACTTAATTTTTGTTGACTCAAATATGTACTCACTCTAGCTTTTTTTGGGTTTTAATCAATTATTCGATAATATTTATATCAGTAATAGGATATTGCCTCAAAATATATTATTTTGTGAGAAATTTTGTTCAGACAAAAACTTCATAAAATGTATAAATGATCATTGACTACTCAACTTACATTTTGCAGTTTGTTTTTAAATGTGCTATTCATAATACCAATGAAGAGGAACTAAAATATTCTGTTGCTTCTTTCTTTTTTCTTTTTTAGCCTAAGAAAACAAGACACAGATGCTTTTTTATATTAATGTCACGTAGTGGAAGACTTGAAAATGTTAACTCTATATCCTTTGGCATTCACAAGAATGTTTCAGATTATTATTATGCCATCTCTATCAGTTTCAAGTCTTCTGCTTCCCAAATGGAAAGCAATATATATAATAGAATCCTCTTCTATTTCTCACTATATTTGCAGTTTTTCTTGTCTGATTTGCCACAAGATGTCTTCTAACCTGGTTAACAGGGATATCTACTTAATAATTTAAAAAATTAATTCACAGTACAGAGAGGATAATAAAAACCACAAAAATAGAGTTAAGTACTAAAACGCTTTTTGGTGTTCTAGGTGCATGGGCAGAGCTTACAGATTGTTGGGCTTCCTTCTAAAATGATGGCATGGCCAGCTAGTGCTTTTACTGAGGACTCCTAAATGTCGTTATTTGTAACAATTTTTTTTTGCTGGGGCTTTCTAAATTCTTGCTTGTGGTTACAAACTTGGCTGATGGCATTCTGGAGCTGGATTGGGCAGGATAGCAAAGACAGACTGAATCTTACCATTATATATGTTGATTTTTCCATTATATATACCCCCACCCATCCCTGTGCCTGGAATACCCATGTTTAGAGATTGCCTTTTTCAATTTGATATGCCACTGTCTCTTACAAAGATAATAGGACCAGTTCTCTGACTACATTGGCTGCCAGGGAGTAGAGTACCAGCGTGGGAGGGTTAAGTGGACCAGCTGAAAAACATGTAGACAAGTACATAAAATAATTGTAGGTATTATGAATGTTAAGGTGTCATATTTAACTTTTTATATTGATAATGTATTATTTAAATATTTTAGGTGTCACTACTATTGATCCAAATCTCTGAGAAAGAAAATAAAATGAAAGATTTAACATTTCTGCTAGAGGAATCCAGAGATAAAGTTAATCAATTAGAGGAAAAGACAAGTAAGAATTTATATAAGATAATATAATGTACTTTATGTATTCCTCTTGTTATGTTCGAAATGTTGGCTTTCTTTACAAGTTTGTTTTAATGCTTTCTAGTACTGTAATTCTCAATCTGAGTTGGTTTTGTTGGAGGAGGGCATAATAGATTAATCTGGGAAGCTTTTGTAAAATACATATACTCTTCTTTTCCCTTTTCCATGCTCTTACCTTTTTCAAATGTTTCAACTATATGCTCCACAAAGATAGAGACCTTGTCTTTTTTGTTCACTGACTTGAAACTGTTTGTTGCATTCCAAGTGTCGAGAACAGTGCCTGGCACATATAAGACACTCAAAATTAATAATATTATTTTTTTTGAGATGGAGTCCCACTCTATCACCCAGGCTGGGGTGCAGTGGCACAATCTTGGCTCACTGCAACCTCTGCCTCCTGAGTTCAAGTGATTCTCCTGTCTGAGCCTCCCTAGTAGCTGGGACTACAGGTGTGTACCACCACGCCCAGCTAATTTTTGTATTTTCTTGGAGACAGGGTTTCACCATGTTGCCCAGGCTGATCTTGAACTCCTGACCTCAGGTAGTCCACCTGTCTCAACCTCCCAAAGTTCTGGGATTACAGGCATGAGCCACTGTGCCTAGCAAAAATTATTTTTTGAATAAACAAATCGTATGGGAGCACGATGGAGAGAGTTACTGATTTTTCCCAGAGAGAGACCTGTAGAAAGGCAGTAGGAAAAAACTGTTGAACTGTTTAAAAGTTTACTAGACAGTGAACTGGAGGAGACAATATAGGTGGAATAAATGGCTTGTGCAAGTCATGGAAGTAGAAATGTTAGGGTATATTTTTAGTAAACTGACTGGTGTGGCAATATCTTATTGAACTCAGGCAGATGAAATTGTAAAAGATTTGGATCCCTTTATGAAGGATCCTGAGTGTAGTGTCATGTTTAGACTGTCTTATTAGTGAATATTTTTCAAACTTTTCCAAAAGGCAGGACACTTAGAAGGCATAGTGTTTGTGAAACACCATGCACCTTGCAGAACATTATAGAGATCTTATGTTTTTCTGTTCTTCAAAACGTTCTCTTTTCTTCACATGGTAAATGATTATCTGGTTTCTGCCAATCTATACCTGCTAATTTCATCTTGCTATCATAACTATGTGATATTCTCCAGATATATTGAAATAATTTAACTTCACTTATATTTTGTGATCTTTCAATCCCACCCCATGCTTTTGGCTACTACCTCTACTCAAAATGAATCTCTTCTCTCCACCCCACGTCTGTTGGCTAAATTCTTAGTAATGGCGTAAGCATTACCTGTTTGTCTGTCCCCTGTGACTAGGAGTGTCTTGAGGAGGGATTGGGTTTTAAATATCTTTGTAACTATAGTGCCTAGTATATTGTTATGCATATAATATGAGTTCAATAGTTGGATGAATGAAATAATATTTAATCTTATCATATAAACTGAAAAAAGTAATACATAACTATAATTCTATATGATTTCTGTAGACTCATACCCACTGAAATGTGTTCATTTAAGTGATTTTTCATTGTTTCCCATATGTGTGTATCTTCTGCTTGTTTTTCTCTGTGTTCAGTGTGGATATTTTTTACTGATCTGTTATCTGATCCTGCCTGTGATGTGTCTAATTTGCTTTAAACCCATCTACTGAATTCTTTACTTTAAATGAATCATATATTTTTCATTTTGAAGTTTCCATTTGATTACTTAAGAGTTCAATTCTCTGGTTAAGTTTTCTCCTCTTTTAAAAATCTCATTTTTCACCTCTTAAATATATATTCATCATTGATACTTTATAGCTATTCTCTGTTTATTTTAATATATGTCTCATCTGTTGGTTTATTTCCGTTGTTTCTTTTTTAAAACTGTGGTAAAATATGTGTGACATAAAATTTACCACGTTAGTCATATTTAAGTATCCAGTTCTGTAGCATTAAGTATGTTCACATTGTTATTCAACCATAACCACCATCTGTCTTCTCCAAGAACTCACCATCCAAGAACTCTTTTCATCTTGCAAAATGGAAACTCTGTACTCATTAAAAAATAGCATTCCATTCCCTTCTTCCTGCAGCTTCTGGCAACCACTATTTGATTTTCTTTCTTTTTACTTTTACTTTTTAATTTTGCTGTTTGGGCATTTGTTCTTATCCTTTGGTGTGCCCAGTAATTTTTAATATTAAATTCTGTACATTGTAATAAGAAAAATCTTGGAGCTTCCCGAAGATGTTGTATTTTCTCTGCTAGAGAGAAATTGGGTGTGTGTTGGGTTGATTATCTGAATCCAGTTAGAGACTGAGCTAAATGAAAGGAAACTGGCCAAGTATATAAGGTTTTTCAAGTCTTCAATTTTGTTTCTGTAGCTCTTTGAGACGTCTGAAAAGTAAGCTGGCTTTTCTGTTCCTTAGCAACAGGCCTCTGCCTGGTTTAGGACAACATCTTAGTCTTTTGTTTATACCCAGATTGGCAGATGTCAGTTGTACTTTATCAGTTCACTTTCAGCGTTTTCTTTTAAGAATCTTAGCCCATTTAGTCCTTTTATGTCATTCTGCCTTTTTTGGTTGTTTCCAGCGTGAGAGTTGGTATGCTACTAACTACTCCACCCTGCCTAGAAATATTCATTTAAATTAATTATGATCGACTAATTTTTGTTTTTCTTTTTAATGTTTGCTTGTTATTACCTAATTTATTTTGTCACTTGCTAATAATAGTTGGTTCCTAAAGAGTATTAATTATCAAAAATTAAGTAGATAACAATAATATTTTACATGATTTCATTATTTCTTGTGGCTGAACAGTATTCCAATTTGTGTGTGTGTGTGTATATATATATATATATATATGTATACATTTCTTTATCCAGTCATCTGTTGATGAACACCAGTTGATTCCATATTGCTGCTATTGTGAATAGTGCTACAATAGGTGTATTTTAGTTCTATAGACAGGACATTATTATTACTGTTTTATACAGACAGTATTTATTTCGTTTTATCCATGTATTTTTTTTTTCAATTTCTTTGCTGTTTTTTTTTTTGTATCTTAAACTTTTCATTCACATCATTTTCTTTCTGTTTAAAATAGGAATATTTAAAATCTCCTTTAGTGAGAATATGTTTGTGATTAGCTGTCAGAGATTCCATTTGTCTGAAAATTTATTTATTCATTCTCATCCATAAAGGATATGTTTGCATGATATGTCTTTCTAGGTTGGCACACCATATGTTATTTTTAGATATTTCTTTTAGCACATGGAAGGTATTATTTTACTTTCATTCTTTCTTTATTTCTTTTTTTTTTTTTTGAGATGGAGTCTCACTCTGTTGTCCAGGCTGGAGTGCAGTGGGACAATCATGACCTCAAGTGATCCTCCCAACTCAGCCTCCTGAGTAAATGGGATACGGGCAGATGCCACTACACCTGGCTAATTTTAAAATTTTTTGTGGAGACAGGGTCTCACTATGTTGCCCAGGATGGTCTCAAACTCCTGGGCTCAAGCAATCCTCCTGCCTTGGCTTCCCAAAGTCCTGGGATTACAGATGTGAACCACCACACCTGGCTTACTATGTTGGTTTTAAGAAGTCAGTAGTATCTTTTCAGATTTTCTTCATCTTTGATTTTTAGCATTTACAGTATAATATGTTTACTCATAGGCTTAGTTTTGTTTAATAACTTCTTCAATCTATAAATTACTGTCTGTTACTATTGTGTCTTGGAAATTCTCAACAATAATCTCTTCAGATATTGTATTTACTCTACTTTCTGTTTCCTCATTTTCTGAGTAAGAAAAAAATGTTGAGGAAAAAAACCCATGTTGCTTCTTGGGAGGCTAAGGTGGAAGGATCACTTGAGCCCAGGAGTTTGAGGTTACAGTGAGCTATGATTGCTCCATTGCACTCCAGCCTGGGTGGCAGAGTGAGACCCTGTCTCAAAACAAACAAACAAACAAACAAACAAAACAAACAAACTAAACCCGAAACCAAAGTAAAAACTTACATTAATTTTCTAATTCTTCTTTGACTCTTAATCTCTTTTTCCTATTTCAACAGTTTTGCCTTTCTGTACCTTATCCTAGATAATTTCTTTTTACCTATCTTGTAATTCACTAATTTTCTTCTCTTTTATTTTTCACACATTATGAAATTCCTCCATTTAATTTTAGTTACTAAGATGTTTATTTTAAGATGTTATTTTTCTTTTTCTAAGCTGCTATTCTACTTTATCTAGTTTTCTATTCTTATTTTCAAGGTTGTCTTTTCTTTAAATATACAAATCATAGCTATTTTATATTCCTTTTCTGATAATTTTTTATTTTAAATGTTTGTGATTCTCATTCTGTCTTGTTTATGATAGTTTTTAGTCAAAGTGCCTTGTTTGCTTGTGTGCCTTATTGTTTTTGACTTTGTGCTCAATTTTTTTACTTGAAAAAAAAAAGATTACTTATAGGAATAAGTTAAGGCCTGCTTAACATCCCCCTGGGAGGATTTGCTTTTTTTCCCCCCATGCACATGGTGTTTCTATCCATTTGGGACAACCTTAAGTCAGCTTGAAGGCTTGGGGTGTCCTGAACCACTCAGGTGATTTCAACCTGGGCTGCAAATCTGCCTCTGAGTTGGTTTACTTTTGCTTGCTCCTTACATCAAAACTGTCCCAATTTATTGTACAAAAGTTTACTTCTTAGACTTTCTCTACTCTCTGTAGTCTTTGGGTTTTCATATATCTTAAATTCTTTATCCCATCAAATTTTAAACCAAAAGTCCAACTTTGCCAGGGTTTGCAAATGCCCTTTGGGCACAAACAAGTTTTGTGGGTACCTTACTTCTATAGGTTTCTATTTTCTCTTCATTTTTGGCCTGGCAAATTCCTATTTTGTCAGGAGCTTAATGCTTTAATATTCTTAATATTTGATCTTGAATTTTTATTCCCGTTTACAGGAGTGTTTAAATGACAAAGCTCATCATTATCCCTTTGGAGTTTTCAGTTTCAATTTTATGTATTACTTCTAGTAATTTTATTGATTTACTGATATCTTCCTTTAGTTTACAAAGTATGTGATAATACTTATTTTTAAGTTTCATAACCAATAATTCCAAAATCTGAAATCTTTGCAGATCTAAGTTGGCCTTTTGTTCACTTTGCTGACTCTGTTCATGGTGCTTTGTTTCCCATTGTGTTTGTTGATTGTGAGGTCATGTAACTTTATTTGTGTAAATTCTTTAAGGCCTGGATTAGCAGTATATTAGGCCTGGAGAAAATTTGCATGTTCCATTTTCTAGGATCCTGGGGAAACTTAGGAGCACTTCAAATTAAATTTTGGCTTGGAGCTCTTTTGAACATTCTGGCAGTATACATTCTGTTCCCATATATGACTAAGGGCTAGTTTGTGCTTATGATTTTTCAGGGGAAACATTTATTACCAGACCATAAGAAATAGTATCATAATGGACACCACAATCATTAGTCAACATTTCCCTCTCTCCAGGTTAACTTTTTCGTTTTTTTGTTTTGTTTTGTTGTTGTTGTTGTTGTTATTGTTTTTGACAGAGTCTCAGTCTGTCACCAGGCTGGAGTGCAATGGTGTGATCTCGGCTTGCTCAACCTCTGCCTCCCTGGTTCAAGTGATTCTCCTGCCTCAGCCTCCCCAGTAGCTGGGACTACAGGCACACACCACCATGCCCACCTAATTTTTGTATTTTTAGTAGAGACGGGGTTTCACCTTGTTGGCCAGGATGGTCTGGAACTCCTGACCTCGTGATCTGCCCACCTTGGTCTCCCAAAGTGCTGGGATTACAGGCATGAGCCACCGGGCCTGGCCCAGATTTACTTTTTCTATTTTTTCCTCAGAGTTGGACCAATGACCCTTTCATTCTATGTAGGTTTTTCAGAATGGAGTTTTAAAAATATAAACTTGGCACATACTTCTGTTGCTTAACATCCTTCATTGTTTTGCATGGTCTTCATGAATTATGAACCAGAAGACTCTGAACAAGTTATATAAGTCCTGTTATGATCTTGTCCTTATTATCCTTCCAATCATATCTCCTGTGACTTGCTCGTTATACTTCAAGCCTTATGCTCCTAAAATACATTTTCTTTAGATGCCAGAATGTGTCATTCTATCTCTTCTGTGTTCCATGCTCTTACACTTGCCTGTGACCTTTTCTCTCCTACCTCCCATTACCTTTGCTAATTCTTACTGTCTTTCAAATGTTTCAACTCAGCTGCTACTTTCTGGAAGTCTTTAAACTTTCTCCATCTCCCTGTACCTCTAACTCTGACTGATCTTATTTGACTTAGGTGTCTCCTCTATGTAAACTCGCAGAACTTCTAGTGAGTACCCATCAGCGCAATCATTGTTTATTTGCCTGCCTGACCAATATACTGTAAATTATCATGAATATTAAGGTCCAGTTTCTACCATATATCACCATTATTATCGTGTTAATAGCAGTTATCATTTATTGATTATAGATTAGACACTGTGCTTGAGCATTTTAAGTTGCATTATCTTGTTTACTTCTAACAGCAGGTAACTCTTCATAATATGAATAATTATCATTATTCTAATATTCCAGGTGGGAAAAGTAGTCAGACTGGTTAAGTATCATGCCCGAGGCCAGGGAGTTTAGTAAAAGGAAACTGTATAATTTGAATCCAGAGAATATAGTGAACTTCTTTTTTCTATTGTTTTTATGATGTTTAAAAATGAGTGCATAAATATGAACCATATAGACTAGTACCTCAGACTTAGTATTTATTAAAAATGGGCTCTTAAGTGGAGTCAAAAGCTTTTATTTGTCATTTAATAAATAAAGAGAATATTTTGAAAAATAAAAAAACAAGATAATCAATAATGAAAATAAAATCATGAATAATTTTACCCTCAGGAGATAAATTACTTTTCATATTTTAGTGTGTATCTTTTCCTTTTGCATGCAGTATTTAAATATTGTTTTAAACCCACTCTTTTTATCCTACATTTTATGAATATCCAAATTAGTAATCAATCAATAAAATTTGTGTTAAAAAATGTAAATCCTTAAATATTTATTTTTGAATTATTGGGAGATAACAGTCTTGGTAAGTCAGTAAAGCTTGATGGTGACCAATATTTGTGTGTTTATATTTGCATATTTCCCCCTCATTTTGTACTATTATCTAATGGAGGAAAAAGACTAATTGTCACAAATAATAATTAGTTTTCTTGGTATATATCTTCTGCTAATTACGATCTATTTATAACTTTCTCTTTTAGAATTACAGAGTGAAAACTTAAAACAATCAATTGAGAAGCAGCATCATTTGACTAAAGAACTAGAAGATATTAAAGTGTCATTACAAAGAAGTGTGGTATGATTTAAAAACTCAGTAATGTGTAATAAGTCTCACACTATCACTCAGTCAACAAATATTTATTAAATACTAATACAATGTACAAGGACCTGGAGTTTCAAATAGATAGAGAAGACACAATCCTAGTCTGCAAAATGCTATAGTTTAGAGACATTGCATGAAAACACATCAAAAGTATAATTAAGATACAAGACCCTGGACAGGTGCCAACAGGGTGGTTTAGGTAATAAATCAATAGTTCTAAGAATTGAAAGAATAGTATGGCTGGGTTGGCTAGGAAGGCTCCATGGAGGAGTTGGAACTATAGGTGGGATTTGGAGAATAGTGAATTGAAATAAGAGTAGTGGGTGGGCATTTGAGGGTAGGGAGGAGGAATAATAGGAAAATATGAGGGTGGGAAAGGGGAAGTAAATGTATAGAAGCAGATAAGTTCAGCTTTTTTGGTTAAGGCCTTTGGATCATTGCTCTTATTTTATACTTTATTTCATTTAGAGTACTCAAAAGGCTTTAGAGGAAGATTTACAGATAGCAACAAAAACAATTTGTCAGCTAACTGAAGAAAAAGAAGCTCAAATGGAAGCATTTAATAAAGCTAGAGCTGCTCATTCATTTGTGGTTACTGAATTTGAAACTACCATCTGCAGCTTGAAAGAATTATTGAGAACAGAACAGCAAAGGTAAAATATATATTATTTTTAATACATAAAATAAGTGAATAAAAAACAATTTACTTTTAATATTCAATGCCATTTTCTTTGCATTGCCAACTGACGTATAATTCATATAACAACTATAGTCAGGTCTCTTATGTATAAAGTGGGAATACATTTTAAAAGTTTCTTTGGATAGACAGATATCTTAGGAAAAGATGTAAAAGAAGATGTTCTCTAGGATAGTTCCCATGTGTGCTTTGCCATAGAATTTAGTTATATATATAAACTCATGAAAGGTTGATGCGGTGATTTATTTAATTACTGTAGCTTATTATTAACTTCCTAGAAGTAACTTCTAGACTGTAGGGTTTATCTTACTGAGGTCTGTAGACCTTTCTGATTTATAAGTTTAGCAGCTAGCCTGGTATAGGTACTACTCTATGTTTATTAAATTAACCAATTACTCTGTATCAATTTAATTAATATAACGATTATTAACTTAATAAATGGTTTAACAAATGTGAGTACATAAAAAATAAACTAGTATTTTCACTTCATCTAAATAGCGGTTTTTCTAACACTTGAGTGTTAAGACTCTATATTTCACTACTTTATATTAAGGAAATATTTATATAAAGCTGTGTTAGGAGGCCTAGATAATTATTTTTTTGTCTCATTAGCATTATGATTAATTAAGTTTGGTAGGATAAAGGAGAACACGTTTCTCTCTGAAGCCACAGCCGGGGCCTAGCAATATTTTTTCTCCGTTGCTTGTGCATGGTGAGGGAAAACTAGCCTTTCTAGCTTCCCTAATTTACATATTTTTGATTGACCTATGCAGTGATTTTTCATTTTTGAAATGGTAAGTTACCTAAGATTCATCTAGCCCTATTACCTCAGTGTTATACTTTGAGGAAACAGAAAGCCAGAGAAGTTAACCAAATTATACATTTTCTCATAATTATATTGTTCCTAAGGCAGAATTCAGTATAATAGTAGTTACATACTCAATCTCTTTCAGAGTTCTAGGATGTGTTAATCTGATTATCATCAACAGCTAAGAGAAAACTTATACCATAAGCTTTAAGATATATATGTATATTACATAAAAGTAATATACAATTATGTATTTATAATAGTAATATCTTATTTTAAAATGTTACACTGTATGGCACAGAGTAGGTACTTAATAAATGTTTAAGAATCCAGTGGGTGAATCTATTTTAAGATGTATCAGTTGCTAAATTGCACCAATTTTAGTTATGAGATGAATTCTGACTAAAATAATATTCTGTATTGAAAATGATATATTTTACAAGATTGGAAAAAAGTGAAGATCAATTGAAAATACTTACCATGGAGCTTCAAAAGAAATCAAGTGAACTGGGTAAGACTTAGAGAATAATGTGTGTTCCTTAATAATACTAGCTTATTATAAAATCATAAACACTGTTTTGAAATAAAATATAATTTCCCCTCTGTCATTTGCCTGTAGAGATTGCTTGATAATATTTTTATTTCAATATTTGAAGGTAGAAAATTTAAAACTTAAGAAAGACTATTTTATTATGCAGTTAATAGATATTTAGAAGTGTGGGGAGCCTAAGAGAGGACTGAGGCTCCTAACAGAATACAACTAAGAGAAGTTGATATTCTGCTTTTTTTATTTTAGGATTCAGAGACCTTAATAATTCTTAGTGAGAAATGTCTGTTATTGTTTAATTGAATTTTGAAATTTAATTGCTTGTTGTGTTAGATTATGTACTATTCACAGGAAAATGTGATCCTATTTTATCATAGGTGTTATTAAAATTCAACAACTTTCATGGCCAAAAGAGAGAGACATTCTCTACAGTAGTTATTTTATAATTTATGGCCATGTAATTAGATAATTCTAATAACCTATGCTTCATATTCATTAATCTTCATATCTATAAATGTAGAAAATTACAAAGCATAAAATATTTTCCAATTTTAGTGAAAACAAAATTTTTATAAATTAAAAATATTCATGAATTGGCAAATATTTTATAAAATATTTTCATAACTTTATGTAAGCTTTATTATTAGATTTAACTACTTATATAATTAAAATAATTGTCAACTAAAATATTATCTAGTATCTGAAATGTGTGCTTTACATTTCACAAGTAGTTAGGTTTTGGACCATATGAACTTTTGGACCATATTTATGCTTTTTTTTTTGTGAGGCTTAATTTTCCACTATAGATTAACCCTTTATCATCTAAAATTGTACTATCAAAGGCAAATAATTTTATCTTCTTAGGATAAGTTTAAATTAAAAAGGTTATAATATAAACCATTCCATTTTTTATTCCTCCTTCGAGCATAAAGTACTGTTTTAAATCATTATATATACCTATACTTACTTTAAAAAAATTATTACTATGCTTTAAGTTCTAGGGTACATGTGTATAACACGTAGGTTTGTTATGTAGGTATACATGTGCCACGTTGGTTTGCTGCACCCCTCAACTCGTCATTAACATTAGGTATTTCTCCTAATGCTATCCCTCCCCCAGCCCCCCACCCCCCAACAGGTCCTGGTGTGTGATGTTCCCCTGCCTGTGTCCATGTGTTCTCATTGTTCAACTCTCACTTATGAGTGAGAACATGCGGTGTTTGGTTTTCTGTCATTGTGATATTTTTGCTGAGAATGATGGTTTCCAGCTTCATCCATGTCCCTGCAAAGGACATGAATTCATCCTTTTTTATGGCTGCATGGTATTCCATAGTGTATATGTGCCACATTTTCTTTATCCAGTCTGTTACTGATGGACATTTGGATTGGTTCCAAGTCTTTGCTATTGTGAATAGTGCTGCAATAAACATACATGTGCATGTGTCTTTATAGTAGCATGATTTATAATCCTTTGGGTATATACCCAGTAATGGGATTGCTGGGACAAATGGTATTTCTAGTTCTATATCCTTGAGGAATCGCCACACTGTCTTCCACAATGGTTGAACTAATTTACACTCCCACCAACAGTGTAAAAGTGTTCCTATTTCTCCATATCCTCTCCAGCATCTGTTGTTTCCTGACTTTTTAATGATCGCCATTCTAACTGGTGTGAGATGGTATCTCATTGTAGTTTTGATTTGCATTTCTCTGATGACCAGTGATGATGAGCATTTTTTCATATGTCTGTTGGCTGCATAAATGTCTTCTTTTGAGAAGTGTCTGTTCATATCCTCTGCCCACTTTTTGATGGTTTTTTTTTGTTTTTTTCTTGTAAACTTGTTAAGCTCTTTGTAGATTCTGGATATTAGCCCTTTGTCAGATGGGTAGATTGCAAAAATTTTCTCCCATTCTGTAGGTTACCTGTTCACTCCGATGATAGTTTCTTTGGCTGTGCAGAATCTCTTTAGTTTAGATCCTATTTATCAATTTTGGCTTTTGTTGCCATTGCTTTTGGTGCTTTAGTCATAAAGTCCTTGCCCATGCCTATGGCCGGAATGGTATTACCTAGGTTTTCTTCTAGGTTTTTTATGGTTTTAGGTCTTACATTTAAGTCTTTAATCCATTGAGTTAATTTTTGTATACCTATAGTTATTTTCTTTAGAATTGTTTAATTTAATGTCAGACTAAGGAGTAATTTTGTTTCTTAAAATGTCTTTAATGGATATTTATTTGTAATAATTCAGTCTAGTATTGAAATTAAGTGACTGCTATTTTGTATTATTATATGATTTTCTCATAGTAGAGCAATATATTTTGGCAAATTTGAAAAAAGTATTCTAGAATTATGAAATAGAACCATGTATGTTTTTTAGCATTGCCTTAGATGTTGTAGGAATGTATAGAAGTAAAATACCATCCTTTTGAGAAATCTCTGATTATTGTTGGAGAAGGGTTAAACACATAAAACCCTTAGAGTAATGGTGTCCAAAATGAAGGGGTGAGCAAAATTTCCTTTAGGAAAAGGGAAGAAAATATTATAATTTTTATTTTTATTTATTTTTATATTTTAAATTTGTTTTATAATGAATACTATAATACATATTTATATTTTATAAATTTATATTTATAAACATTTATAACATTGATTAGACATTTATGTAAATATAAATATGCATTTGTATTTTATACACACTTACATATTTTGGGTGAATGCTTATAGATTTCTTATTGATGGAGGTATGTTAATACTTATACCAAGAGGAAGCCTAAGATAGCAATGTGTACTGCATAGTTGGAAAAGGCTTTATGGAAAAGGTAGATTTAAATTTAAAAGTAGGCTTTAAGGCTTCGGATAGTTGTAGAGGATGAAGGAGTGTAGGAAACATCATGTGTAGGAAAGTAGCATTAACAATGACATAGGTACTGAACTTCTTTGGGTGACAATATAGTCTCAAAACCAGAAATCTTGAAGGTTATTCAGTACTATTCTCTTTCCCTTATCTTTACTGCTAATTGGCTATCTGGTGTTCCTTGACACCTAACTCATAAAATATAACTAACTTAAAAGTTCCTCTTAACTATCATTTGAATATCTTCCTTTTCTTGATTTCCACAGACCTGGAACAGTTCAATTCCTCATTTTCTCTTTCTTGGTTTTAGAATTTCAGGATGCATGTAAAGAACATAATGGTACCAAAATTGTATTTGTAAGATTAATCATCAATCCGTGCTTCACATTACCCCCATTTGTCCTAATCTTTATTCATCCCTTGCTATATTTAACTAAGTTTCTGTTTGCTTTACCTTTCTTTAAAATCTCTTTTCTTACCCCAACAGCTCTCCTTCTTCTTTGTTTCCTGGCTACACTTTACGTTCTTCCTTGATGGTATTTTCTTAGGCTTACATCTTGGTTAAAGTGGTCTTCCATTATTTCCTCAGCAGTTTCAATCCTCAAAACACTTTTAACCTGTGTACTGCTCAGATATAGGCTGCCCTACTCCTTATATCTTTTAGGTCAGACATCTTTGACCAGTGCTATTATAGTTACAGTAGCTTGAGAATCAGTCCTTTTGTTTCTAGGATAGCCACCTTTTGATCATTTTCTACATTGCTGCTAGAGTGTTTCTTTAAAAATACAAATCTGATTATTCTATGTGGCAAATTTAAGTGGCATCTCATTGTCTAAGTTCAAACTATTTAGATATCAGTTATCTTTTCATTGTTCATTTAAAGAGTGGGAGTACTGCATACCAAGTGAGTTGAAGTCAACTGCAATAGGAAATCGTTGGCAGTTTTTTCCCAGCTTCTTAACTTGTTACAGTTTTTTTTTTTTGTTTTTGTTTTTTTTTTTTTTTGCTGCTTCATGCATTGCCCATCTTCAATTCAATCTAATATTACTGTAAATGTGTCTTATTCTTGTACTCATTTTTCCATATCTGGATCCATCTTTGCTTTCAATTTGGTTATGTAACAGATTCCCCTCCTAGTATGTTCTATTGCTTCTGCTTTGATTATTAGATGTATAATATAATAACTATCAAAGTAAGGCTTAGATGTTTATTCCTTATTTAGCCTTGGATACGTAATGAGGAATGTAACAGACATGTCTTTGTTCTCACGAGGTTTGCACTCTTCTTGGAGAAACATACAAAACAAATAATCACAAATAAATATTTAATTATCAATTGGCATAAGTGCTATGAAGGAAATAAAAATGATGCAATGCGGTGGCTGCAGTGGACTGTGTGGGCCAGTCCCCAGGCCTACAGGCAAGTGCATGTGGGTGAGTGCCAACTGTGGTGGTAGTGGCAGGCCTGGCTGACCCTTCGTCAGGCACCCAGGAGGAGTGCATAGGTGCTAATGGTGGTGGATGGGGCAGTGTGATCCCCTAGGCTCTTGGACAGTGTACTCAGGCACTTGAGGGAGCAGAGATAGTCCTGGTGGGCCTCTCTTCAGGCTTCCTAGTTGTGTTTATAGGTGCTGGCTCTGGTGGGCAGGGTGGGGTGATTCCTATGCCCCTGGTGGAGCACTCAGGTGAGTGCTGCAGCAGTTGTGGTGAGCTGGGGGAGCCTGCCGTTAAGAGTATGTGCAAGTGTGCTATGGCCCTGCTGCCAGGGATGATGGGATTGTTTAGGTGGCAGCAGCTATAGGCAGGCCTCTGAGGAGTGTGCACTTCAGCCCCAGGCATCAGCTGTCCGTGAGCCTGTACTCAGGGTATGTGACTCCACTGCTGGGAGCAATGAGGTTGCTGCTAGTGGCCCTGGCTTCACCTGGTAGCTGGCAGTGGCAGTGGTTGTGGCTGTGAGCAAGGTAGCTTGTCCTTGGGGTGTGTGCAAATGTGTGATGGCCCTGCTGCTGGGATGACATGGGATTGATGCCATTGGCTTCTGCTATGGCTCCAGCAGCAGCAGCCAGTAGTAGCAGCTGCGGGAGGGGGAGACTTTCCCTGGGGCACAGGAAGATGTGCGACAGTCCTGCTGTTGGTAGGGGGCAGGGTTGCTGCCAGTGGGGTGCACTTCAGTCTTGGTGGCAGTAGTCAGCAGTGAGTATTGGCTGGGGGTATGTCATTGGGGCTCCAGGGATATGGAGATGCAGGGGTTGTTGGGCCTCAGAGTAAGATGTAGTCTCCTGGGGGCTGGGCTCTCAAAATGGCACTGTGCTATAGCTGCTTAGAACTCAGAGGGTGGGTGGGACTCAACATGAACTCCCTCTCTGGAGCAATGCCTTTGTGAGATCTCTAATCAGCTACCTAGGTTAATTTCAGGGCCCAAAGGAGTCTACAATGGCTAGGATTGCAGGAGTCTGCAGTGGGACTGTGGATAGTTGGGGCTTTCTCACTTACCCTTTCCCTGGATTAGGGAGTCTTTCCAGGCTCCCAGCCCATCCTGAGCAGGCTGCCTCACTTCCCTCTCCTTCCTTGCCTTAGGTGTTTCCTGACACATCTCTGTTGAATTTCAGTGTTCTTAGAGGATCTATTTGAAGTGTAATTATCTACTCACTAATTTAGTTCTTCTTTGTGGAGGAGGTGAGTGGGCAGATGCCTCTAATCAGCCATCTTGAAACCTCTCTGGTTTTTAAACTTTTGTCTTACGTTTTCTACCTCTTTGCTCTTTTTCCTGAATTGGGAGATATCTCTATCCTATTTCTGTCTGTATCTTTATCTGTATCTGTATCTGTATCTCTATCTATCTCATCTCTATCTCTATCTTTCTAAATTTGTTTCTCCCTTGCTAATTCAATCTTTAAATTTTATGTCTGTTTTGCTATTTTAAAAATCTCAGTTGTCAAATTTTAAATTTCTAAGAGCTCTAGGTAATTTATATCAGGGATCTGGTATCCTGTTGGAACATTATACTTAGTTAAATACCTGTTTCTGTTTACTCTATTAACTCTTTTTCTTTGGGTTTTAGTTTTTTTCACAGTTTAATTTGGAGCTTTCTTTTTCATTGTTTTGCTTTTCTTCACAAATTGTTGGTACCTGATTGTTGACTCATCTATGTATAAGTATTCATCTTTTCCCATTGTGTATTACAATCTAATTCTTCTGATTATGGGAGTGAGTGGGAGTTGCTGTGTGGAAAGGTGGGCATAGTGGCTTGTCTTTTACTATAGGGGATGTTTATCCTGCTTAAGAATAATGAGGTATTTGGAACACTACCTTGTCTGCCACCCAAATTCCTAGGATCCTTACTTTATCCTGAGGTAGGCTTTGTGGTGAGAGATATGGTCACTTGGTCTTGTTGTTCCACATAGCCTTCATTGAATTAGTGTGAATTTTTTTTCCTCCAATGATTCCTTAATTTTCTGGTTTGTTAATGATATTCTCTTATTTTGTTAATGTTGTTCTTTTATATATATTTTTTCTTGTACCTTTTTTCTTAATTTTGTGGGATTGGGGTGAGAGAGCATATAGAAACATGCTCAGTCCACTGTCTTTAATCAGTTTTTGAGTTTTTAAAAATTAAATATTTTAACCTGAAATACACTTTCTGGTTAAATAAGCTATGTATATGTCAGGTTTTTCTTTTGGATTCTATATTGACATTTTATATTTTGTTAATTTTCCTTCAAGACTGTGGACAATTATTACAAGTGTTTTTAAAACTGTACAGAGTTTGAGAAATTTTCAGTAAGTCTATTACATCTCCAGTAATCAATAATGACCCTTAACAGCGAGGAAGGACAATATTTCAGACATAATAAAGTTTTAGCTGACAGCTGGACATATTAGGGAACTCTGTAGGCAGTTCTTTTTTGGTTTCATCTTTTGTGGGCAGGTTAAAAATATAAGAAAGTTGAAAAATGCGGGAGGCTTGGGCTGGAAAGATTTTTCAATTTATTAGCATAATGTTGAACTCGTGGAAGTGTAGAAAGAAAAACATTGGGCCTTATTTTTTGGGATGGCAAGAAAGAAGGCTGTCAGCAAAGAAAACAAGAGCAGGAGTTAGAGAGGAAACAGGAAATATGAATAGTGCAAAATCAAAGAGGAAAAAATGGGAGAAGTTAATAGTATCAAATAGTACAAATCTCCACAATGATGAAGACTTAAGAATTGTATCACAAAATGGTTATTGGTGATCTTTAAGATGATAATTTTATTATTATGGTGATAGGCATTAGTTTTACTTGGAGTTCAAAATGAGATGTGTAGGTAACAAATAGGAATTTGTTGGCAAAACAAACTAAAAAATTTGATAGTTGCTTGAAAGAGCAGAAAGGTCAGATACTGTTTTATATTCAAATAGAATGTTTAGACGAGATAGGGGAAATTAAAGATTCCTCTACATAGAATCTGTGTATATTGGTAGTATAAGAGCAAAGTCTCAGAGGAGGTGGGAATGTTGAAATCCAAAGTACAATGCTCAGAATTAGCTTGAAAAAAGAGAGTCACTTCTGTTAAGTTTGGAATGACGATTAAAAGGTCAGATGTTTAGACAGTGATGAGTTGAAGGTAAATGTACATTCTGACCTCATTTCAAATATATTTTATATAGATTTATTGCTTATTTTGCTTTGTGAATGTTGGGTTATTTGGCAATGGCATTAACTTTATAGAAACATCACTATTAATATTTATCTTTAATTAGCTTTGCATAGTTAGATTTGGACTTCCTCTATGCTTTACATTGCTCTAATTGCATTTCTCTCTCCTGATTTTTCCCTTTTGCATAGTATTATGCTTGTTCCTTCTGTCTCTTTTCCTATTATTTTAATCCAGCTTTTTAACATTTTTTTTTGCTTATTTTAGAAGAGATGACTAAGCTTACAAATAACAAAGAAGTAATACTTGAAGAATTGAAAAAAGTCTTGGTAAGTATAGTCTTTCCTATTAATATATAGCAATTACTTTTCAGAAGAATATTGAATCCCTTAACTTACAGACTCACACTATAGATGTTTTACACTATTTTTTTCAGCAAAAATGTAAAAATTATATTTGGTTTTAAGTAAAGATGCATTTTTATACCAATTTTTATATACCTTGTTAACTGTCTTCATCAAGCTGTTTATATCATTTGAATATGTGTTGATAGCACACTAAGATCAAATTTGCATGTTATGTAGCTGATTGTAAATTTGGTAATTTTGGACGTTGTACCCTTTGAACAATAAAGATGCAATTTTGAAAAAGGTGTATGATATATATTCAGTACCTATGTTTAATGTTCAGGTAGAATCATGTTTAGTGAAGATGTAGGGGAAAATTTCATTATATTTTAATTGATTGCAGTGTATAGAACATGGGTCAGCAAACTTTCTGTAGAGGACTAGATAGTAAATATTTTACAGTTGGTGCGTCATACATGGTCTCTCTTCTCTTCTTCTCCTCCTTTTTGCCTTCTCTCTTTTTAAGAACCTTGTAAAAATATAAAAACCATTCCTAGCTTAAGGGTCTAGGAAAAGAGACTTGAATTTGTCTTGCATACTGCAGTTTTCTGGCCCCTGATGTAGAAAATAATAATGTTTATGGTGACTGATTAATTGATTTTGTGTTTACCTATCATATCTCTACCTGATTTTGCAGCTCCTACTTCTTCTGTCCCTTGGAAGCATTATTTTAAAATACTTTTTTTTTCTCCATTTAATTGCTCTGGGACAAACTGTTTGCAACTAATAATGTTTTCAGTGCTTTCAGATTTATTAATGCATGCTTATACAGGTCTTAGCTTAAATGTCACTGCTTTATGAAACCTCTCTTGATACTCCAGGCTAGGTTTAGGTCTTTGTATGGCTTATTTCCATAGCACCCTGAATTTTTCCTTTATAACACTTATCACAAATGAAATACATTTATTTTTGGTATTACTATTTAAGGCTTTATTCACCCTTTAGACTCCTTACCTAGCATAGTGGCTGGCACATAGTAGGTGCTCAATAAATAAATAGTGGAATGAATGTATGCTTCAATAAGGGTTAGGAGCCTTTGTCTTGTTTACCTTGTGACTCTAGTACTTAGTACAGAAAGGGACACTTTGTAACACTTTATAAATACTTGTTGAATGAATACTAAAGCATTGGCTTTTATATAATGATTCACTTCTGCATGGATGATTTCACTAGTAAATTCTGTCAGACACTTTAGGAAGAAATAATACCAGTCTTCCACAAACCCTTCCAAAAAATAGAAGAGTGAAAACAATTTTCAAGTAGGTTTTTGATACCAAATCCTAACAGAGATATTATAATAAAGGAAAATTACAGACCAATATCCCTATGAATATGAGTATAAATATAAAATTCTTAATAAAGTATTAGTAAATCTAATCTAGATTTTAATACATGATAAAGACCATATTACATCAAACAATTTATCAGGAATGGGATTTATCAGAAATGTAAGGTTGGTTTAAAATTTGAGCTATCAGCGTAATTTACTGTATCAAGTAATAAAGGAGAAAAATAATATAATTATCTTAATAGTTGCAGAAAGACATTTGACAGAATTTCACACTCATTCATGATTAAAAAAAAACTTTCAGCAAACTAGGAATAGATGAGGACTTCTCCAATCTGATAAAGAACATCTACAAAATACCTACAGCTAGCATCCTATTTACTGATGAAAGGCAGTGTCAAGAACAATGTCTGCTCTTACCATACCTATTCAACCTTGTATTGGAGGTTCTGGCAAGAAAAATAAATATATACAAATTAGAAAGGAGTACGTAAAACTGTCTCCCCAACCCATGACAGGCCCCGGTGTGTGATGTGTTCCCCTTCCTGTGTCCCAGTGTTCTCATTGTTCAATTCCCACCTATGAATGAGAACATGTGGTGTTTGGTTTTCTGTTCTTGCAATAGTTTGCTGAGAATGATGGTTTCCAGCTTCATCCGTGTCCCTACAAAGGACATGAACTCATCCTTTTTTATG